CTCGATGGTCCGCAGCTAGTGCGACACCATAGTAATATTTACTATAAAATTTTCTCCGTGTAAATTTATCTAGAATTGTTTCTAATTTTTTGTTGATGCGTCTTTATACGAAATATATTTTCGCAGAGAAATCTTCGGAGATCCTCAGCACATATTTTTCAATGAAGCGTGATATTTGACGTTCTGTTTACATAAATTAGGCGTGTTCTCTCTCAATCGTTCGCGTTGCGCTATTCGACGAAGGTTTCTCCGAAATTCGGACGCTCCGGAACTTATTTGCTACTGCTCGTTACACACAAATCGTCCCGACGTAAGTTCGCCGGCTAAAGTTAGCACGTGCACGGTGCGCGGGAGCGGAGCTCCCGACAACGTGTCGTTCAATGCACGACCGGCGGATTTGTTTGTCGCGCGTTTCTATATCGGCTTTGTGCGGCCGTTCACTGTCGCGTGATAATCCGTACCCCCTGACGCTCTCGCACGGCACGGGGAGTACTCCCGGTGCTTTTTCTGCACCTATTCCCGCCTATCCTCGATCGTGCCGCATTTGCTTCCGTCCAGCAAATACGCCCTCCCATAGCCTGACTCCCGTATTCGTGGTGTGCGTAAAACGCGATCGATGCTACTCGCCGGAGAGAAACGTGTGTCCCCAGGTGTTCCTACGAGTACGAGAGTATCTTCGACGCTTATTCTGCATTGAATATTGATTACGTTAGTATTGTTATCCTTGATCTTAGAAGTATCGTATAAATATCCCGACAAATAGTTCTATGAAATTTATCATTCATTATATTTTATGGTATTTTTATGGTACAATTACAGCTTATCTAGATGATTCTACCTTCCTTTTTTGAAGCGAGATTTATTATTGAAAATTGATCGTTAGAAATAATCCTCGTACTAGATAGAGCTGTATCTAACGATTTCTTCTTAAGATTCCCATTATTCAAGATATCGATTTTTTTTTTTGTGCCAATATCAGTCTCGGGTATAATCATTATTACATCTCGATACTAGATTACTAGGTACAATGCTCGCGTACGAATTAGCGGGTTTTGCGACGGTGCAAATCGATGTGAAATTGAAGCTATTATTCGCGCGACAGACGCTTTCACGGCTGGCTTTGTGCGAGTCCGAGAATTACACGCGGCCTTTCAGAATCCGCCGCTGATGTGCGTTTCACGGGAAGCGACGTGTTCTCTGTTGAACACGTCAATCGCGAGACGGCCATTCAAGGAAAATCTATGCGGATCCAGTATGCGAATCAATGACTCCCACGTGTCTCTGTTTTTCCTCGCGTGTCACACCGCGCGCGTATCGCGAGCAAGCAGGCCGCTCACGTTGATAGACAGTTTGCTTTTCCACATTGCTTTTCCACGATGCCTCCGTCCTCGATCTCTTCCAACAAAACGTATCGTCTAACGTCATTTATTTCCAAGTAAACGGCGCCACGCGATATAGAATTCCAATCTCAATTTGCAAGTCCAATTTGTGCGAGACTAATAAAAGAGCGAAATACTTAACTTTGACGATGAGAAGCGTCGCGGAAAAGGGAAGCGTCTAATGAAATTTTCATCCAAGAAAAGATCCGCGTCGAGTGAGAAATTTGGAACTAATAAGAAATACTATGATTTAGAACACCTGTATATGACTGCAATGGTAATACCGGTTGGATGGTGTTCCCACCCAGTTTTCTTAGGAAAAGCGTCTTACGAGGGGATCCCTTCTCGCGACGCGTAAATATTTATACGACGGTGCTACTAGCTAGAACATATACAGAGACGCGTGATCGCCCACACACCCAATTTCGAGACGTTAATGAACGCTCGGGAGAGTAATCGACCTCGTGGATTAAACTGGATCGGGGATTCTCTTATGTACGATAAAAATATCTGACCTTTTGGCTCCGCGTTATAACGAATTCCTTTCAATATTATATCGATATCATACACGGATAATCGTAATATTATTGAGATTTTGCTTATAATTCTGCACACCCCCTCTGATATAGACTTTTTTAAACATTAATTATTCGGTAAGCCATTTTTATGTTAATTATTGATTTCATAATGTCTGAAAAACAGCTTTCGATATAATCGCCTATTGCGTTCTCGCGATGCGGACACTTTTAGAAGCCGATATTAACGTATGCAAAATTATAGAGATTTAATAATATCGAAGTTTCTATAAAACTCCGATTTATCTCGCATTATAGCGAGAGAATGTCTACTATAAATCTTCTCAATATTCAAAAACTGTCACCCGCACGTTCAACTCCAACCACTAGGTACGCCCATTTTGCACACCAAATTCGTTTTCACGATTTCCATCAATTTGTTCGCGTCAATTTATGGAGTTCTAGACTCTTGGCATTTCTCTTGGTTGAAATAATTTAAACTAGAACACCTTAAAGTAGATCCTTCAGGATTTTGAACACCTCGGATTGTGGGCGTATAATTTTCATTATATACATACATATAGAGTATAATAATTCATTTTTTTTTAATTTAGAATGCTTTTCGAAGTATTTTTCAGATGATTATTTGCATTTGATAATTATTATAAAGTTATTAAAAGCTAATTGCTAAACTTTTCTATTTTAAACTCCTATGAGAAATGTATATTTTGCAACAATAGTTGCATAATATTATACCGATTTAAGTCTTCGCTGAATTTTATTATTCGATAGGCAAATAATGTAATATAATTCTAATAAATAGGCAAGTAATAACGTTCTAATGCAATTCTAGAGCCGAATTCTAACGTTACTCTTTTTTTTATGTTGCAGAATTGCCAGCTGAGGAGGGTGAGTACCGAACCGAAGACGAACTATCGTCTTTTGACGTCGCTCGACGTAGAAAACAGGTTTGCGACAGATTGGCATACAAATTACTTTCGATGTGGCAAAACAAGTTTGCAAATCGGAAACTCATCCTCTCTTTTTTCTTACAATCCGTCTTTATATCGAGCCGTGACTCTACCGTGTTGTTTCGAGCCAAACGTTAATTTGTAATTTATAAGTTTCCGAAACTCCTTCTCGCCTGCCTCGACAAACGTCGGTCTGCGGAAAACAACTTTCGCCACGGGTCCGCTGTCAAAGTAGGCCAGCTTGGAATTTCCTGGAATTTCGTAAGCTTTGAGAATTAGCGTCGCACACGCTACGTTGCCATGCATTTGCGAATGCGACACATCGATTTAATCCGCCGTTCGCGGAAGACAAAAGCACCAGAATCGTCTTTACACCTTCGCGCGGAGATTCGAGATTCAGGAACTTTAAACATCAATTAATCAAAGCAAGAAAAATGTGAAAGATGAATGTTCATGGAATGAGTATACGCTTTTTTTTAACATATTCTTGCCTCTTTTAAAAAGGAATAGAAAATAAGATACAAAAAATATGATAAATTCGGAATATAAAAAAAAATAAATGTTTATTTTCAACACTTTTTGTTGAATGCTTTTTATATTTGAGCTCTTTGAATGTAATGTCAAGCGTAGATCTTTTATTAGTATTTTCTTATCGTTTTTTGATCATCTCTTTGGCAAATGTTTCTTTCAAACTCTATTCTTCTTTTATAATTAAAAGTCTAATTGATAAACTTAATACAATAACTTGATACAATAACATTTTGAATCTTTTCCAAAATGTTCTTGTTCCGAAAACTTTTGCCTACCAAAAGGCGAGCGAAATAGTAGCAAAGATGAAGCACTTGGTACATAAAACGTTCTAGATGTAAAATAATGTAACGGTGGAAAGAAATATATATAGCACGACTGCCTATGGAGAAGGATCCCTGCAGGATCCAGGGTACTTGGGCCACTTGCCCCATTTACTTATGTCGAAAGACGTCAGCGCCGTAGCGCCGTACGTCGCCTTCGACTCAGCCGTAATTGCATCGGCATTGCACTCGACCCGCGCGGAGGCTCGCACTATCTTCCCGCCGACCTTCGGCGACGGATCGACCCGCCGTAATTGCGGCTCTCGGCTCGGCGTTATCGTTCGTGAATTAAAAAACTGTACTAGAATTAAAAAATAAAAAGAAGAAAATTGAGCGATAAATTTTCACGGATTTTATCGGAATTGACTTCGATAAGTCGGAGTTAATTCGGCTCAAAAGCGCGGTGACAACTGACATTGACGATTAGATCGATTGCAGACGTGCAATTTGTATCGCTGCGTATACATGCGTAATCAATATGCATTTTGCTGAATGACAATTGCGTGAAAATTAGGTCGATCCTACCGCGTGATATTAAAACGCATGATTTATTGTAATACCTGGTTAATCGGAAGATCGGTCTTGCCAATAATAATTTTCGGCTTTATCGGAGATAAATAGATGATAAGATAGGCTATGTGGCGCGCGTCATTGAATTAATACCGTTTGAACGCAATAATATCCTAATCCCGACGAGTTCTCATCGACTTGTCCTGATAACGTAGAAGTGAAGTTTTTTTTACCTGATAATGTGAGAGACGTAGATACTTTTCATGTAATACGCAATTTTTTGCGAAGCGAACTCGTACAGAAGTAATCTCTTTTCACGCACGAGTGAATAGACGTCGTTCCTTCGCGAAATTGCCGTCATTTGAATCAACGATCTTGATCTCGTGGCAATTAGCATTACTCAGACTTGGCTTTCTAGAAAATAGTATCCGATATTTTCGGCCGGCAAATTGTGCACGTGGTGATTTCTGAAAGATGTGATGATGAAAGCTGTTTTCTTCGCGGATTTAGACGGCGAACAAAAATTTGCGTATATACAGGCGTGCTCTCTCTTGAAGCGAAAGGGTTGAAGTCAATCGGACACACTATATTTTATCGTTTCGCCGTTATTATCGCACTTTATATAATCCTGAAACGCGTCGGAGGAGAGCGCGATCAAGGTCGTATTAATGAGATTCCTGTCGTAAATTAATCGCGCGGCCAGTTACGAACGCACAACTGGCCTGTAATCGTTGCCGCGCTCCGTTCCGTCACACATGTGCGCGCCGGTCTCTGTGTATACGCCACGCTCTATTGGCCGATTGACAACGCCTATTGTCACACGCTGAATCCGGTAATGAAGCATGTTGCACGTATGCACACGTGGGTGAGAGAGTAAGGAGGGAAGAGAGGGAGGACGTGGAGAAATGTGCGCTGGTCTCTGCAGCACTGTCATGCCACGATATTAATTTCCGAGACGCGGTGGAATGTGCACCGCGATATTACGTGCAATTTATGTAACGAAATGTATGCCATGCGTGTAACGTGTTTGCGTTACCGGAAGGCGTGCGTTAAGACACAAAAAGTGGTGTTAATATGCCACATTAATGCCGTATATGTGTAGGAATTAGATATATAATTTATATGATTCGTAAAATTAATAATGTGAGGTGAACATAGTCAGTAAATTAATTGATTGAGGGTAGAGTTACGCGGCTTGAATTGAATTTTACTAGCATAACGCAATTTTGACTTTTTAAGCAATTATTACGTGTTTAACTATTTAAATTTTAATTTTATTGATTCTGCTTATAGGGCCACTATTTCAACGTCTGTTAACTTTCAACTGACCGTTAATTAATGAAATAGCCAACTTCTATTGGCTATTCTGAAAAGTTAACGGTCAGTTAGAAGTTAACAGACGTTGGAAATAGTAACCCATAATTAAATGTTGTACGTTATCGGTACTTTGAGCCAGCGCGATTATATCCATGCAACAACATACAAATGTTGCTAATATAAGTGCCTAAATTTATTAATTTTTACGGTAATGTCGGCTATATACATTTATCCAATTACAAATGATTTTTAATGTAAAACTGCGGCTATTTTTATATATTACTTAATTGTTTAGTTAATCGTTTAAAGAGAAGCCCATTTTGGAAATTATGTTTATAAATTATTTTTTATTTGTATTTTTCTCCTGACTTGCGAATGAATTGTTAGAATTTGCAACTTCTATCGACACACATTTTATTTATTATTACTTGATCTAATTTTTTGCTTGATCTAAGAATCAACTGTCGTTTTATTCTTGCTAATCCTTGTTACAATAAGAAATATTATTTTACCATCGAAACTTTATTACTTTGTCGTTTGCAATTTCCAAAAATTCGCAATGCTATTAAAGAAGAGGAAAGAGACACGTGATCTAACTTGATTAAAGCAGAAGGGCGCGAGGAAAATGGGAAGAAACGAAGAAAGGGAGCGCTACTTACATAATTCAGCAATCGAATTTTCGTTCTTTGGCGGCTGCTGTAAATTACAATTAATGAAATCGTCAACCGTGGAGTAATGACGTCAATCGCGTGCAGGCAAAAGGCGCCAACCATCAAGGACGCCCAGGGCTTGCCCCTGACTACTTTATAATTTTTATTCTTTCCTGACGCATATACTATAGAATATGTTTCTTCAATACGACAACGTGTTCGCACGTTGAGATCTGCGACGAAAATCTTTCCGTACGACACCAAATTAGCTCCTCGTATGTACGAAACACGTGTTGCTTTCGATTAAAATAGAATCTGTAGATTAGCACGTATAAATATCGCATTGGAATTGTAATTTACTTAATTTTTCAATTGTTTTAGTACATAGTAAACTAGAATAAAGAAGAATAGTTTTATAATTTCTGCGTAAGGATAAAATAATTCTTGATCTGAACTTGTTACATCACTACGCTTATGACAAGATTTATAAGAAATGTAAACGTAATATATGTTAGTTATTAAATACATTTTTATTACATTATATGATGAGTCACAACAGCTTTTCTTACAATTTTACGGCAATGATTTCATGATTCTTTTTTGAAAGAAATTTTTTCCCGAGACATAAAACTATGTAAATGAGATATGCTATTTGCAAACATTATTATGTTGCTAATAATAATGCAAGGTCATGCACAATAAGGTATTGTTAATCTGATTCCGTATTGATTTCATCGTTATATATTATAATTAATAGATTCGCTTTTTTTGTATAATTAAAAACTAACAGCGATATATTTATACGATCATAGCATATCGGATTAAGTATTTGTGTTATTATTATTTAAGAAGAGATTAGGTGCTATTTTTTAGATTAAAAGAGTTCTGCAATTTATAAATTTTATATTTAAGTTTTATGCCAATTTGTCGCAATAATTTTTAAGTTAAATATCAGATAAATAATATTAAAATTGTTGTTCGTGAAATTAAATTTCGAATATATACACTCATCCCTTGATTTACGCGGTACTTTTTATACGCGATCTCAGTTGTACGCGATCAGAAAATATATCTTTCTACGATATTGAATTATGATATATCAATGAACCAAAAATTCTTATCTGATTGTACTTGTTACATTATTTTGACATTTTATTGACTTGTGGAGAGCACATTAAGTTTATTCACATAAATTATAACGAATTTACTTTACTGGACTTTGTGCAAACAAAACAAAATAAATGTGAAATAAATGTTTTTATATTTACAACGCACGTGGAACGAATGCTCCACGTAAATCGAGGGACAAGTGTATATCGAATATAAAACTTATACGAAAAATATTTATACTAATAAAAACTCACGAAACCTTTTCATATTTTATCTCGCGTCGCGCGAGATTATTGACGAATTATTTTTCGCTTACAGGAAAATCCATCTGGCAACTCGTCCTGGAACAGTTCGATGACCTTCTAGTTAAGATTCTTCTATTAGCTGCTATTATTTCTTTTGTAAGTATAAACTGCGACAGATATCATATTGAAAAATTATAAATAATATCTTATAAAATTTAAACTGTGGTATAGAAATTTGCATAACAATTAAACTTCTTGCAAAGCAAACGCATCTTCGAAAAAGTAAAATCTAGTATAATGCAAATTAAGTTTATTAGATATACATGATTGGTATTATCATTTGGTATTATGGTTTATGAACTAAAAGTGTTTCATGATCTAATCTTTACAAAAACTATGAGAATGCCAAATGTGAATTCGCGATGTTCCTTTTTCTTGTGAATTCTTGTCGAATTTTCCGGTGTATGCCGCTTTGCGAAAAGTACTGTAATTATATGTTTACGGGGGTTCAAGGGTAAATGAGGCTAAATATATCTTCCATGAGAGGTGAAAAAATAGCATATTGATTTCAAGTAGCCGTGGTGATCTGATTTTCTCTGAGCGCATAAGAGAAATATGTAACATTCATTATGGAGTTTGATCTATAAATTGTGGAAATAAAGTATGTAGTTCAGTACGTTTATAGATATAATAGCTTTTAGAGAAAAGAAATTTTTTAGCGGTACGCATCTATGTCTTGGAAAATTTATCTTTGATTTTCTAATATACATTTTTATATGTATTTTTTTAAATATATTAATTTGAAATATTAGCTAATATCGCTGCGATGACTAAGAGAGAAAACTGCTTATATTTTCTTATTAATTAACTTGGTGCTCATTTTCCACAGAGTTTTAATTAGCTGAACTGTTATTTAAAGGCGACAATGTGAAATTATTCAATCTGCTGAGAAACATAGGCTCAATGTATTGAATTTCTTTACTATATTCTGTAAGTCTCTCTGATCTAGTGTTTTTTTTCTTCGTCAGGTATTAGCCTTATTTGAAGAGCACGAGGATGCGTTCACGGCCTTCGTCGAACCCTTCGTCATCCTGCTCATCCTTATTGCCAACGCCGTGGTCGGTGTCTGGCAAGAACGAAATGCCGAGTCTGCGATTGAGGCGCTCAAGGAGTACGAACCCGAGATGGGTAAAGTTGTACGAAGTGACAAATCGGGTGTGCAGAGGATTCGAGCCAAAGAGATCGTGCCCGGCGATATTGTGGAGGTATCGGTCGGCGACAAGATCCCGGCCGATATCCGTCTGTCCAAGATCTTCTCGACTACCCTCAGGATCGACCAGTCCATTCTGACTGGGGAATCGGTGTCCGTGATCAAACACACCGACCCTGTGCCCGACCCACGCGCTGTCAATCAGGTAAAAAGTTGCAGCTGTATAAAAACATTTCCGCTACTTTTTCTCAGGCATCATCTCGCAAATATCAACGGCATACCTTTGAAATGAGAGTTTATATTCGATAAAAATTGCAAACAACTTTCGTTCATAGGGGTTTGCATAGTTTATTTATGTGATATTTGATCATGACTCTTGAGAACGTTTATTAATAAATTCTGTTTTGCTTTTTCTCTAGGATAAGAAGAATATCTTGTTTTCTGGTACCAATGTCGCCGCTGGAAAGGCTCGCGGGGTCGTTATTGGAACTGGCTTAAGCACGGCTATCGGTAAGATCCGTACGGAGATGTCGGAGACGGAGGAAATCAAGACGCCATTGCAGCAGAAGTTGGATGAGTTTGGCGAACAGCTGTCGAAAGTTATCTCCGTGATTTGCGTTGCCGTGTGGGCGATCAACATTGGCCACTTCAACGATCCGGCTCACGGCGGTTCCTGGATCAAGGGTGCCATTTACTACTTCAAGATTGCCGTCGCTCTCGCTGTGGCCGCTATTCCCGAAGGTTTGCCCGCTGTAATCACGACTTGCTTGGCCCTGGGCACCAGGCGTATGGCCAAGAAGAACGCCATTGTACGATCTTTGCCGTCCGTAGAGACTCTAGGTTGCACGTCCGTCATTTGCTCCGACAAAACTGGCACTTTGACGACTAACCAGATGTCCGTTAGCCGGTAAGAGGATTAAGCAAACAAGAATACTATAACGTTGATGTAGATTTGACTTATTAATCTTTAATAAACACTATATAAGGATCTTTCTCTATTTTTCTTGATGATATATTTAAGCAGAAATTTTAATTTATACGTAATTTTAAATATTTACAGAATGTTCATCTTTGACAAGATTGAGGGTAACGATAGCAGTTTCCACGAATTCGAAATCACCGGGTCGACTTATGAACCTATCGGCGAGATCTTCTTGAGAGGACAAAAGATTAAAGGACAAGATTACGAAACATTGCAAGAGATCAGTACAATTTGTATCATGTGCAATGATTCTGCTATCGATTTTAACGAATTCAAACAGGCATTTGAGAAGGTCGGCGAAGCCACGGAGACCGCCTTGATCGTTCTCGCTGAGAAAATCAATCCGTACGGAGTCCCGAAGAGCGGTTTGGATCGTCGAGCTGGCGCCATTGTCACTAGGCAGGATATGGAAACAAAGTGGAAGAAGGAATTCACGCTGGAATTCTCTCGTGATCGTAAATCCATGTCATCGTACTGCGTGCCTCTGAAGCCATCGAAATTGGGAAGTGGGCCAAAACTGTTTGTCAAGGGTGCGCCGGAAGGTGTATTGGATAGGTGCACACATTGCCGCGTCGGTGGTCAGAAGGTTCCTCTTACTTCAACCCTGAAGAATCGCATCTTGGATCTGACCCGCCAATACGGAACCGGTAGGGATACCCTGCGCTGCCTCGCTCTCGCCACTGCTGATCACCCGATGAAGCCGGACGATATGGATCTGGGCGACTCCACTAAATTCTACATATACGAGAAAGATCTCACGTTCGTAGGTGTAGTGGGCATGCTTGATCCACCTCGCAAAGAAGTGTTTGATTCAATTGTTAGGTGCCGCGCCGCCGGCATTCGTGTAATCGTTATCACCGGCGACAACAAAGCCACTGCCGAAGCCATCTGCCGACGTATCGGAGTTTTCGGTGAGGACGAAGATACCACTGGCAAGTCATACTCCGGACGTGAATTTGATGATCTACCGATAGCAGAGCAGAAAGCGGCTTGCGCCAGAGCTCGCCTCTTCTCTCGCGTAGAACCGGCTCATAAGTCGAAGATCGTGGAGTACTTACAAAGCATGAATGAAATTTCTGCTATGGTAAGTCATATTATTCTAACATTTATCATTATCATCAATGCACTACAGCCCGAGTCGAGCCTTGGCTTCCGGAAGAAAAACCATCCTATATAGAGTTTAATTTTCCCTTGGTTTACAATTGCAATTTTTATTTTAGAAATTTTTACTTTAGAAATTTATTTTTATTTTTAGAAAAAGTTTGTAAGTCCCTTATCCAACTTTCATTCTGCAAAACAAAAGATGATACAGTATTGCGATTTGTTTATTCCCAGTTACCTTGCGATTGAATACATGTTTAAGATACTTTGTATCTATCACAGTGAAATATTTTCTCACTCAAAATTTCTAATAATATATATGCGGATTGACAATTCTGAGAATCAAACCCGGAACTTTTATTTGACAAACGATTACTCTAATGTAGAACTTTCCACCGTTCCATTAATATAATATTAATTACGTTAATGTAAAAAAAAAGTATTTATTACTTGAAAGAGTTAATTCAAAAAGATCACAAAATAATGTTGCATTGTTTTATTTCTACAGACTGGTGACGGTGTGAACGATGCCCCTGCCTTGAAGAAGGCTGAAATCGGTATTGCTATGGGCTCTGGTACTGCAGTCGCGAAATCAGCTTCGGAGATGGTATTAGCGGATGATAATTTCTCTTCCATCGTAGCCGCTGTAGAAGAAGGCCGTGCTATCTATAATAACATGAAACAATTTATCCGTTACCTCATTTCTTCCAACATCGGCGAGGTCGTCAGGTATGTACGAGATATATGAGGGCAATGAGGAAGATTAGAGTTCAATTTTTATCCATGTTTCTATACTATTTCACAGTATATTCTTGACCGCCGCCCTTGGTCTTCCCGAAGCACTGATTCCAGTCCAACTTCTGTGGGTCAACTTGGTCACTGATGGTCTTCCAGCTACCGCTCTCGGTTTCAATCCACCCGATCTAGACATTATGAGCAAAGTAATATAACAATTAAAAAGATGCACTGCCATGTCATTAAATGCAAGTTTTATTGATTTATTTTATTGATTTTTTTTACAGCCTCCTCGCAAAGCTGACGAATCTTTAATTTCTGGATGGCTGTTTTTCCGTTATATGGCTATTGGTGGATATGTAGGCGCTGCCACTGTCGGGTCGGCTGCTTGGTGGTTTATGTACAGTCCGAACGGCCCTCAACTGAATTACTACCAACTTGTAAGTTTTGACAAAAATTTGGTTATGTTCATAATTATTTCGAAATTTGAGTAATTATTCTTTAATTAACATCTATTATTTGCATAAAATATAGACTCATCACTTGGCATGTATTGGTGGCGGACCCGAATTCAAGGGTATTAACTGCAAGATCTTCGCTGATCCTCATCCCATGACTATGGCTCTCTCTGTGTTGGTCACTATTGAAATGTTAAATGCCATGAACAGGTGAGAAAAATATTCGTAATATATTTTACATAAGAATCGCGGTTTCAGGATTATAATAAAATCTATGTTTCTTTCTCTATAGCTTGTCTGAGAATCAGTCGCTCATCAGCATGCCGCCTTGGTCCAACATGTGGCTCATCGCATCCATGGCTCTTTCTTTCACACTCCATTTCGTCATCCTGTACGTCGAAGTTCTTTCGGTAAGTAAATATTTATATTAAGACTGCAGAAGCGAATGACCGAAAACCTTATGCTTTCAATTTGAAGCGCAAAAATTGTAATCGTTAACTCTTTTGTGTTTCAGTCCGTATTCCAAGTGACCCCGCTATCGGGTGAAGAATGGCTTACCGTTATGAAGTTCTCCATTCCAGTGGTACTTCTCGACGAAACCTTGAAGTTCATTGCCAGAAAGATCACAGACGGTGAGAATCCAATTTACACCGTGCATTGGATTGTTCTAATGTGGGCTGTGTTCTTTGGACTGTTGCATATCTGTCCCATATAGAACGTCCGCGAAATAATAATATTAGTCTAGCAGACGATGTTTTTTTCCTATGGAAAAGCATCCGCGACTAGATCCTTGGACTCACAATTTGCATTTAACCGAAGCTCTTCCCACCGTGACGCGGGAAGGCGCGAGATAAGTTATTAACAGAGTGCGTTCAAGTGAGATTTTAACAAGTTTGACTGTTGTGCATGGTGTTAGTACGATCATATATGAAATATGCCACCAAGGCCCACCATGCCCGCATCACACACCGTACCCTGACGTCGCTCAACGATCACGGGTTTCGAGTGGCATCGAGTGATCTAAGAGAGACCCCGTCGTAAATCAAAGATTGTGATCGTTAAATTATTTTCTACGAGTGCCTTTTGAACATTGAATTTCCTCTGCAACAAAACACGAAACTGTTTATAGATGTTCTTTCCGATACGTTTGACGTCCCAATCCTCTTCCTTTTATTGCACTATTATGCACTTTTTGTTTATCGTCATGCACGTTTCGGTATAATTAGCAACAGATAAATTATTTGGTAATTGTAGCAGATTCTGATAGTGCACTAACACAGTTAAGACCCACATTAATTTATGCATGTCTTCCGTCTGTGTTTCTCGCCGATTAATAATATTACGACATGAACTTTTTATATATCTTTGCACGTTCGAAGCGTATTATTGATCTTGGTCGATTTTTGGAAAGTACAAAGTAGTTCGCCCGCTAACCATACCGGGAATTAGTAACTTCGGTTTCGGCGCAAACGAACGCATTTGCGACGTATCATTTTCGTAAAGTGATACGCACATTTACACAACGAAGACAATAAAACATTCGGCAGAAAGACAAATGGAACGGACAGTAGTAGTAGTATTATATTTTGTCTCCTGATTTTATTTTCAGGCTCAGTTTAATGCACGCACGCAACAAATTAGCACAATATTCGGTCAACGCGATTAGCATACAATCTTGTTTAGTAAATCCCTTTACATTTACACTTCTTTTTGGTTGCTTTCTATGTTGCTTGTTATAAATCACGTTTATTAATGAATTCTTAGTGTCTGGTGTGCCTCTTTCTACTCTGAAGTCAGAACTGGAGCGGGCTGAGCGTTTGCTGAAATTTCAAGGAAATGCGAGGGTTTCGCACTAACGGATCTCATTTTGTATCCTGCATACCGTGTCTTCCTTCCCGTAGAGATAATGCATGCACGGTATAGTTAACACAGCACGTTTCGTAAGATCCTTTTATGTTGTAATCTATTCTTTTCAATTATACTGTCCTCTGCTGTGCCACGCGATCAATCCATCATTTTTAACTTCGCGCGTCTTTCATATTCATGCTGAGATATATTCTTAACATTTATGCGGAACAGACAACTTTATTTTTTATTAGATGATATCTTTGTGAGTTTATTCTTCGATCGGGATGTTGCGTCGTACAAATCTGTAATAAATGCGTCAAATGTGAAGTAAACTTTTGTAAATATCCACATAATCGATATATATTTTTATTAGATAGATAATTAAATAGATCGTTATACAAAATTAGTGAGAATCGTCGCGATTGGCACAGCGGGGTTTCTTCTAATTTCTCGCATGGGTTCGCGAATACAACATCTGTTTCCTATGTGTATAACCCGTACGTGTGATTTATGCATTAACGCGATGCAACAGATTCGCGTATCGCTAATTTCTGGATATGGACTGCAAAGGCTCGTAAGTGTAAGATACGGCAATCGTTAAGCAGAGGAAAATAGTTGACCTCATTACCTCTCTCGTACGCTCGAAACTGATGGGGCAGTCCATAGATTTTCTAGTAAATTCGTTCAGGTTTAATATCTGAGCAGTGTTCCGAACGCAAACACACTCATTGTCGGGATATAATTCATCATTTTTATTGATGGTGATATCGAATAGCTACATTTATCATAGAATTAATTAAACGACGCATAGATTTTTTAAAAATAAATTTGTCCTTGATAATAATATTTAGTGATAGTTAGGCGCATCTGTTTTCTATTCCCGGCTCCCGATAATCTTTTCATATTTAATTTCAAACGCGCAAAAGAATCATAGTTTGCTTTTATATAGTCGTCCGATAAATTATTTAAAATGTTGAAAGATATTTAAGACATGTGTATGAACAACCTAATTTGATTAACTGAATCAATAAAATTGGAAAAGTCGATTCTTTTGTCGACAAAAATACAGAAATCTGAGGAATGAGATGTGCTAAATGCGTAGTAAAAAAAAGTTTGACTAGTGGTTTTTTTCATGTATAGAATTTTTTTCGTTAAAGATCGGCGATAATCCTGTTTCATCGGACCGTAATAATTTTATTAATAAACAGTCATTCGTTCATGTGTAAGTTACAGGGGATCTCCCCGTTTGTTCTCTCACTTCCAACGTCACGGTCTCAGATGATGATCGCCGATCTTTCAAGTATTTGTATTGGGAGCAACTTTAGTCCCCTAATTATTAGTCGAGGATATTTCTCGATTGAGTGAACGCGAATTCGGTCACTGCCACATAACGAAACGAATAATCGGTGTCGTCACGAGTACGTGGGCCTTCAATATACATCTGGCTATTTAGTCAGTTCATCCCTTGGAGCGTATCCTGTCGGCGAGAGCCATCGCTAATCAAAGAAGGAAGACTGAAATCGATTAGTGCTGAAAACAAACGGCAGCTTCTCGATTCTTTCTTTCCCATTTGTCGACGTAAAGCCGTCGTCTCTTACGAAGCGATATTTCTAACTTCGCCTTCCTGCTACGTTCACAAAAAAAAATTAGAATAATCGGCAAGAACTACACTGAGGGAAAAATATTTTAGAATCAACACAACAATTTTGTTGATTTTTCAATTTATTGATCCAATTATTTATTTTATTGAATTAAGTACACGTCTATTATTTGAACAAAATGAAATAATTGAATTCTGAAAATGGTATCATACAAAATCATTTTTTTTAAGTTAATGATCAATTTTGTTAACTCAGTAAAATAATTTTGTTGAACCAAGAACGATAACGTTTTTAAAAATAGTAAATTTATTCAAAGAAATATTTAGTTAATGTTATATTATGTATAATTGATAGTATAAAATATTTAGTTAAAAAGAACAAATCAATATAGTCAACAAACAAAATAGTCAAAAAGAACAAAAAGAACAAAATATTTTGTACAAATATTTTGTTAAGCCAATCAAATCATCTGCTTGGCAACATACAATATTCCGGTTTTATTAAATCAACAAAATTTTTTTTGAAAAAAATAATTATTTCTCTCAGTGAGTATCGTCTCGCGAGAGACGGCGGATTTAAGCGGTTCTCGCTTCCGCCGGCAGCGCAGGATCCAAGGTGTCATCCAGATCTTCGTATAGAGATCGCCGTGATATTCGGCCGTTCGCGATTCAGCGCGCGAAACGCAGCGCGCGAGACGCTTCTCCGCAAAACACGTGCAAACGCAACAAGACTGACGATGTGTTCCGGGCGAGGAGCGGACGCGTCCGCTGCGTTTTCTTCTTCTTCTTTGTTTCTTTCTTCTTCGGCGCGCGACGCACGATAATTTAATTGCGCCGCTACCCAGGCGCTTCAGGAGAATCGGCCGTGGCCGCGCCGCGCGACATTGTAATATAATTAATTAATTAATTAGTAACGGTTAAGGCGTGATACTTTGGTATGGGCATAATTAAAACTTAATCAGACCGAACGAGTTAGCGCTGCCGCACTAACGAACTTGTGTCTCGAGTAGTGTTTCGTTCCGCAGTTTAATTTTTAGCGCGAGGATAATTAAGCTACCGGCTTTGCGCCCCGCGTTCGATACCTGTGTCGCGATGCGTTTGTCGTTAATGTCGAGAAAAGTGGAAAGAAAATTTTATTCGTGGATGAGTAAATTTTCGTGTTTCGCGCGAAATAAAAATCATCGAGAGGCATATGCGATATTTAATTGTCGCCTGTAAAGGGATAACCATTCTCACGATCCTAGACCTGTTTTTCTCGTATAAATATTGATGTGAACTGAAATTTTTTCGGCCAATCTCGAATTTCTTCAGAGATAATCTTCGAATCCCGAGATATCCTGTAACACTTACTATTATCAAGTTTACCCACCGTGGCACAGAACAATGGATGCATTATTCGCTTGTTTGGACGCGCGATTGGGTAACCGGCACGGTTATCGGAGCACAGGTACGCGCGCGGGGATCAATGCCGGTGAAGAGTCTAATGCAGTTCTCTATGACGCTCAATGAGTTCGACGAAATTAATCGGGAAGTCCGGATGCAAGACGACCCCCCGAGCAACGGATCTCGAAAGAATCGCGCGAAGAACAGCTGTGAATTACTGAATTGTTGATTTCGGAAGTCCAGCAATCTTGATGAAGCGACAGAGAGACGCAGATTTATAATTAAATTGTAGAAACCGGACGTGTTGCTTTCTTTCTGTTTCTTTTTTGTTAACGAGTTTGTCGGATTCACGATTTCCTCGGGATTCGTCGCTCGTTGCTCCCTCGCATCCGGATCTCCAACTTCGTCCACGATGTATCTGTAAGTACTTGAGTGTGCATTGTATTTTACGTTGACCGAGAATGACGGGGTAGTGCCATCACGACGAGAGTATACTGCGCGACGTCACGCAAATATCGATGCGATTGCTTGATTAAAAAGTGCAATCCTAGCAATCCTGCTCCATTTGTAATTACATAAAAGGAAGAAACGATTTATTCTATCTCCTTGCGTATTATATTTATTAATTATAACTTATTGATTGCCATAAAGTAAATTGTACGTGCGCCGAGAATTAATTAGCTCGTCGGTAGACATTTTATCATTGATCCTTGTGTGACGTTGATAATAATCGAACGCGGTGTCCAGCGATGATGAGACTACAATCGCGTCGTTTCCTTCAGGAAGTACCTATTTCTCTAACAATAACGAAGTAATATTAATATTAATAACTTATGGAAATACTATGACATCGAGTGATTTCGAGTATATATATACACTCGCCGCGGACGTCGCTCCGCGGCGGAAGATAATAGAATATATAATTCCGGGTGTGAAACAGATTTTCATAGAGACGAGACGGATAATATAGAAACAGAAGGAATAAAGAGAAATTGTATACACGAATCCGACTGTTGCGCGTGTTACGATCCAGTCTATGCATATACGATAAGTACAATTACGTTATCATGTAATTATCGCGCCGTGTCGGCGTTTCGCAATTTGTTTTATTTATCGTCCGATTTACCTTTGTCGTATATTCAATTTGAGTTCGTACGGAGCGACCATTATAACAAGTGAGAGAATATGACGACGGAATGATATATAATGCATTACTTGTTATAATAAAAGAATCATGTGTTACTAATGCGTTTCTCGATCCTCCGACGGTTGACCTACTAATCGACGTAATAATTCTCGCTTAAATCCGACAGCCTATTGCCATCGAAAAAAAAAAAAAATCGAACGCTTATTACGACACTGTCGTGATAGGTGTTCGGTTAGTCCCCGCCTAAAACCCACTTTAACTTTTCGACTTTTTTCTCTCTCGTTGTCTGTTATCCACCCTACCACATTCCGAATGTTCATTGTGACCATAGCTGGCTTAAGACATTCAAACGTTGGTGGGTCAGAGTTAGAGATTTTGAGCTACATGAAATTACTAAATATACATTTAAAATTTAGAAGAAAAATTAAATTCCTACTTTATTTCTAATTTTTTTTTCGTAAATAATAAAATATTGAATCTTTGACGAAACGATATTTTTAAAGTTATATAGATAAGATGACGGAATTATACTTAGCAACAATTATTCAGCTCGAAATTTAAAACAAATGAGAAGATTAATCAATTCCAAAATATGTAAAAAACATATGAAAAAACATTTTAGTATTTTAGTATAATAAAATGCGAATTAGTATAATAAAAAAAAATCACAAACGGCGCACACTGTGGCCTACTTATTCAATGATTAAGGCAGCTGTCTGCTTGTATAACCCTTATAATTTTTCGACGTAACAAATCGAAAAGTTCGCAAAGGATTTGGGGACCATCTTGTACAGCTCACCACTGTCGCACTGTGTGTGTGGAGGCAAGATTTCGGAAAATAAAACACGCGTGATGCCGAAATTTCTCGACACATCGCGCGTACACGACGAATCTTTTTATTATCTACTATATGGCTATATACTGTGGTGTACCCTATCTTCCTTCCCCCCCCCCCGACCCCTCGAGATTTGTTGTTTGAAGTTTTTTGCATGCGTTCACTGGAAAAAAGACCGATGTGATAACTGTCGTGTCGATCCGGAATGAGTCCTAAAATCGGAGGCTATCGAAAACATTCCCCGACACATCGACTTCGACACCCACCCCCTTTTGCTAACTTCCCCCTGCCTGCTGGTGTGCCAAACTGTACAGTGAGAGCGGTCTTCGAGGACGACTACGGGCGCGACGTACGGATGACACAGGTAATGTTGAATTTGTCAATTTTAAGACTAATGAAATTAACGTTTAACGTTAGCTGTTACGCTGTAACACGACACACACACGCCGTCCACGAACTGCATTCCGCAAACGAGCGACTTACGGGGCCGAAGCAATTTCTTTCGTTTGCCGATGGAAAAAATTGCGGTCTCCTTTTCATCACGTAATGTTTATAATTTGTTCATTTAATTAATGTGCATTCCGAAAAAAGAACTCATTGTCAGAGGACTGTGGGGCTTCTCCTGTTCTACAATACGCGCGCGCACATTTCAGCCACGTAAAATAGAATTAATATCGCATTTCAATATCTTTACTGTAATTTGTTATATATTACACATTTCATTCATTTGCGTACGATCCATATGTACAAATACTTCGTTCTTTAAGGGTTCGTCGTAACATATTTGCTTATCTGTACAGACACACATGTACATGCACACATATGCTTGTTTTTTATATGTCAAATACTTGATTCTTTCGCGATTAAGCGCGCTGCTCACACCGCTGCGCTAACACCTCATCATCGCCAAGGCTTGCATCGACTAGCAGCTGCATCCGTAGAGTTGGAGAGGCGCGTGTGGCCTATCGTAGCTGAACCAGCGAGGATAATAGCTCAGCGTGTAGTGAAATAATCAATGTTACCCTCGTATGATTGCAGTGGCACCGCCGGTGACGCCGAAATAAAGCTCGAGGGGACGTAGGGCGAATCTGAGAAACACCTAATCGGCCGCAGCCGAGAAATCGGCGACACCCACAGCACATTACACTCTCGAGCTGCTCGAAGGGACTGGAGATGTCTTTACCTAACAGCCCAAAAAAAAAAAACTATCGAATATTTCCCGAATGAAACCACAAAGTATACCCTCCCACCGACACCCCACACGCACCGCAATAAGCACCACCACCGGGCCCACGAACGCGAAATGTGCAATGCACGCGCACGTTCATCTGCGTGGCGATCGGCATTCAAGATCGGCATCGATCTCCCGCGGGATGGCGAAGAAATAGAAAAGGGAACGAATGTACGAGTGTAGTTTTATGGCAATCAGAGTATCGGACTCTCGTCCACCTTTGATTCGATATCGTTGCTCGTGTTATTCATGCGCCAGTAGATTTCTAACGATGTCATGATTGTGATGATAAGCAAATAAGGATATTGATTTTATTTGAAACGTTCGACAGTTTCATTTTTATTTATTAAATTTTAGTCATTGCTCCATTACCGAAAGGGTAGCTGCTCGTAACAGCGATAAGAGCGTCAAAACGCAATATTCCTCTTTTTACAAAAAGGGATAGTTGCACATACGTCAGCCGATCGACGTCAATTCGAAACTACAACGATCTCGTGACCATTCCTTTTCGAAGGAGATCCGTACATTCGTTCGAGCAAGCTGCTGCACCCAGTTAGTCCGATTAATCCGAGGACCGATCGTTTCAGACCGCCGAAGTCGAGAGGAAGATGCCGGGGAACGCTGCTAAAACAGCCGTCCAACATTTTTTTTCTCCCCCTTTAGTTCGCCATTTAGGTCTCCGCCGCTCGTTAATCGTTCTCGTGTGTGTGTTATGTTGCAGTCAATGAGGTGGTCGTCGACAAGTGGGCGGCCAAATAAATGAGTGAGTCGTCGACAGGCGTAATCCCACTACTCCGTCGCCGCCGCCACCGAGTGCGCGCGAGGAAAGCTCAACCCGAAAATTTAACAAACAAAAGACCCAAACAAAAGAAAATAAAAAGATGCAAAGACGAACGAAAGCGTGAAAATAACCCGGCGCGCTTGTGCTTCGTATAGAGCGCTGTAATAACAACATGAACGGCAGCAGCAGCAGCAGCAGCAGCAACGCACTCGATAACGACTTATCTACCTGCCAACCTGCAGTTCGGGGGAACTCCCCCCCGATCGCTGAGTAGACGCGCTGCCACCACCTCGCCGCCGCTTTTATTTTTTTCCATCTTCTCTTCTCCCTTCTCCGCAAGATCGCTGCGCGCGAGGGGTCGTTCGAGCCGAGGGGTCGTCGTCCCGAGGCCGACGAAAGCGAAGCGAACGAACGGCTTTGGGAAACTCTTTGTCTTCTAGTGTCTGGAGCCGCATATTAACACGTTCTTAACTCAACGACTGTGCCTTCTTAAAGCTGATTGCGCCAAAGTCGGTCAGCGCTAATCTCGATCGAGAGAGAGACTCCCACTCTTCTCCCTTTGTCTGTACAAGGTATCATTTGCAGTTGCACTTTAAAATCTATAAGAACGGCTCTTGATCGGCACTTTATTACGAGCCATGATTATGTTTAGTATTAATATGAAAAATAAACGGTTTTTTTAAAATAACGTTTTTTCTGGAAAAAGAAAAAAAGAACTGATGCTAGTCGAAACCTGGAATAATTGGATATATACCGAAATCAATAGAGATTCTCCTTTCATTTAACACCTTGTATTGGATAAAACTCGAGTAAAAGATTAGCTGACTCGAACCGTCGGCGCAACTCAGCCTTAGCTTCCTATACCCGAGCGAGGAACGATGCGATATAACTGATTGCGAGAAAGTAGAGGAGCGGCTGCCTTTAGTAGTCCCTTTTTAATCCCTTAACGCCTCGGGAGCGTGTTAACGCACATAATGCAATCTAACGGCCACGCAGCCCTTTCCCAATCCCAAGTAATTCAATCAATCACATCGCTCATGCTTCCGAAAGTAATCAAGACTTGCCTGAAGGTCTTCGAGCGAGATTTTTCGATTAAGATCGTATTCGACATATAACCGAAAAGGTCAGTCGATCTTCTCGAGAGTCTCATTAATATAAAAAAAAGACAAATTTGAGCGTTCGCTTTTAATGTATTTAGGTTTGCATTCGTTTCATCTTATCGTCTCTTTTTCACCCTTCTCTCTCGCCATTTTCAGACGCTATTTTTCTCGCTATTTTTCTTCCTACCTCTTTTCCGCGCCGATATGGCCTTCCACTTCTTTTTCTCTTTTCTATTTTTCTCTTTCTTGTTCTCATATTTTTCTTCCTTCTTATTTTGTCTGTTTTTTTTTTTACGTGAAGATCTCTCGCTTGGTGGTACGTTCTTCCATCCGACAAACTCGACGGTCGTGTCCTTCGACTGTACAGGCAAATGAAGGCAACAATCTACATTTCCGATCGAAGCCGAGCTAATGACAATCTCTCAACCTATACGCAAAAGCCAGTCCTATTAATCTGTTCCTACGAGCGAAAGCTATCGATCCATCATTCTGTGACATGTTCAATCGAGTTTTGTCTCTGATAGTGAAGATTGTTGCCTTGGAATTCTTTCACATCTTCCATAGAGGTGCACATTGTATCGTCAGAAGCGATCAACCCTCCAGTGACACAAAAACGGTCCCTTTATCAGGAATCCCCTTAGCTTCCAAGACGCCGTATCCTGCCCGCGATATAAGAAAACCCACGTAAATTAGGTACCCAATCGCACGCGGAGATTAGGTACCCGGTCCCCCTTATCAGCCACGAACGACGGAATCCTCCGTAGCTTGGAACGTCCGATTCGACGAGAAAAAGACCGTCACTCGTACCTGGAACGCTCAATGATGCCACAGTCCGTCCGCGCGCGCTCGCGTTTATCCTGCGGACAGTCGCGAGAGAGAAAGAGGGAAAGTCCTCGACAGTCTTGTATATGCTGGAGAGAAAGACAGAGAGAGAGAGAGAGAGAGAGAGAGAAAGTAATTGGATGCATGTGTGTGTGAGTGTGTGTCTATCCTTATCGCGCAGAACGAACGAGGAACGAAGAAACCTACTCGCGCCGTTCTTGGTCTCCGGTGAATTCTTCGGGGCTGCGACTCGCCGCTGCGAATTCTGCATACCCGGTCATTCGACGATCACGGCGAAGATGCACAGCGAAGAGAGCACGTGGGAGACAATCGGACGGTGGGGAGGACGAAGGAGAGGGTTGACCAGAGGGGTCGTTCGACTCCTTGGAGCGAATCGACGAGGGTGTCGAGTGGTGCCTCTGCGGAAACGAAACGAAGCGACGACGGTTTCGAGCAGTGACGTAACTTTCGCGATCGGAGGCCGCCGCGATGAAGCGAGCGTTAATTGTGCCTGTGTGCCGGGTTGCGCGGCGGTGCGCTTCGTGATGCGAATAATCACGGAGCAGCGCTACCGCTGAAACTCTTCTCGCGCGAGCCACCCCGCCCCGCGAAGGCGTCTCGAAGAAATATTTCGCGGAATACCGCTTTGAAAAAGAGAGACTTTTCCCTTCCTTTCTTTCCAATCTGCAGAGAGGGGATGATAGCGAAAAGTGGCTCGTGCGCGAGAAGGAATCGCGGAGCGAAGAAGGTTCGCCTCCGGAACACGCATGAAACTTACGCCACCGGGGAATCCAGTAATCTCGCGAGAGTTAAGTAATTATTGTAAATATCCGTCACGCACGCGACGATATATAACAGGGGAGAGATATTCTACATATAAATATATAGTTATATATATATATATATATACACATTATATATTTTTTTTTCTTTCGTGAAGAAGCGCACAGATGGACGCGTCGTCGCTGCGGACGATAATAAATTATTATTATTGATAATATATTATTATTACTATTATTATTATTATTATTATTATTATTATTATTATTATCGTCATCGCTACTATTGTTAGTATTACTGTTATCATTGAAAAAAAAAGAAAACGTCACCGGTTTGGTGATATACTGTATATTGTACGGCGGAAACGCGAAACCTTTCGAGGACCGGGCTTCGAGCGAGAAGGATTCAAACTGTCGAGGCTCGTGGTTGTGGTTTTTCTTCTTCTTCTTGATTTATATTCATTACACGATTGATCGTTCTTCGTGGTGACATTAGAGGCGGAATTAGCCACCTCGCGGCGTTCTGATTGTTACTTAGGGAGAGAGAAAGGAAGAGAGAAAAAAAGAGAGAAAGATAGCCACCTTTCCTCGCTCCGTTGATCGCGACTCTCCTCGGCTTTTTCTCGGCTAAGACTGACGAGAGTTCTCGATAGCGATAGGATAACGAATATCTGACCGTAGACATCGTTAAACGACTGAATCGCGAGTGTATCTCATCTTTCGCGTTCGCTCGATGTCGCAAACCGGAGTTGGATTTGTCATATTTGCGGACCTCATCCTCAAACGTTCTTGCGTGTTCAAGGTAGAATACAGGCGGACGGAGTTGCCAAGACGCGTACTGGCTACTTTCTCATCCACGGTTTTGCTCCCGACGTTATTATCGTGTGTTGACACCTCTAGTGATATACGTCCCGCGTTTCCCGAATTTTTCTATTTCTCTTTTTCCTCTTACCACCCCTCCGGTCTCTTTTCTCCCCTCGTTATACTTCTCTGCCTCCGGTTCTCGTCGGAGCCCGCGCATTCGTCTCACGCCTCACGCCGATCGTCTCATTTCTCTCGCCCTATAACTACTAAATATATTATTAGCAGTTAAGAGTTTTAACGACCCGCGACGCAAAAGTTTATAGGAATCGTCGCCGATATAGGACGCGAGATTTCTGATCGACTTTAGCTCTCGGCACGAAAGTAAGATAAGTAAAGACCGCGCGACGCGCGAGTTCTCACCGGGAGCTCGCCGTCACTCATCGCAAACAAATGTGTGCGTGTGTGTGTGTGTGTATATATATGTATATCATTATGTACATTATGTTTGTTACATATTATGTACATACGTATATGTATATATATATATTTAAAATGAAGGCACCTCTCTGTGCCCGATAAAATTGCTCCGTACATACACATCGCTCGCGTCATCCTAATCGGTACACGTATGATATGTACGCATCGACGCGGACGTTCCGATTACGCCGATACGTATGTGGATACGTCTATCAATCGCCCATCCTGTAATTAAAGCTCATCATTTTTAATGTATGTAAACTATATTGTCGTGGCGTGTAATATTCGTACTTGTATAAAGGCAAATCGCCCGCGCTGACGCTCCAATCGTTCTCGCTCGAATCGTCCACGTTGGAGCATACTCTTAAGAACGAATTTCACTATTTTCTTCGAAAAACGGTGACAAACCTTACACAATTTCTAATGTACGCCGACAGCTCTGTACGAATAAAGGTTTGGAAGTAATCTCGCTGTCCTGCCTTCATTCCGTCGTGACCCGTTTTCGAAAAAGGTCTTTTTTAATATTTGGTTTTCTAGCACCTCAGTGGCTTTTATCTGTCAAGAAGAAAAATTTGAATTGCACGTTTTCTTGTACGATTCAGCTTATATTTAATTTATATTTACAATTAATTAGAAAGATGAATCTTCAAAATGACATTACGTTTGAAATTAATAATTTGATCGTAAAATCGCAAATTTAATATATTTTATAATATAAATCGCACCTTCAATAATTGCACTCTATTAAAAATTGTAGTATTAATTTATTAATATTTGAACAACAAATACGAATTAAACGAAAATTCGTTTTCTATGCAAATGCTTAAAAAGAAAACGTTATTTATATATACACGACATGGCAGTGAAAGTGTTAAATAATTATTTAGAAACGGGACTTATTTAAATCAAATCTGTCAGTCGTAAAAAATGTTATGACTACATCGCCGCAAACGCATCCCTCACGTAGTCTACATATTTGGAACATCATTTATTTTTGCTGTCGTAAAAGATAATTTTAAAATATGCTTCGCAAAGACAGCACGAACGGTGCTCATAAATTTCCCAGGCGGAGTAAATAAATTTTCTTCGTCTGGTTAAAAAGTAGAAACTAAAATAGTACAGTTCGCGAATCGTACGCTGCGGGCCGGCAGGGACTTATTACTACTTTGCATTGCAAATTTAAATTGTTTTCAGCGACCGGGGGATGATGCGGTCTTTGAGGATAAAACGCAAGATACACGGCGCTATGTACGTAACACATATTTTAACTTTTCCACGAAACATTGCATCGCAAATGACTGCAGCACTTTGTTCGAGGTACAAAGTACCTAGTATTTTTGAAAATTCTCAAAATAGTAATATAGTTTCTTTATGTCTATTTGAAGTTCCAATCGTACGTTAGTTTGTTTACATCTGAAGCGTAAACCAGCAAAATTATTTTAATAACAAGGCATAAATTGAACAGTTGAAGACTTTTAATATTAAAGATTACAAGATTAGAAGATGACGTCTCAAATAGATACGTATATCACAAAACTTGTTTCTGAACTAATACTAGATTTTATGTGATTTTTGTATTTTTAAATTTTTCTTAAAACTTGTGAACTCATTAAAATTGCAAGTTTTTAATATGTAAAACTTCCAGCTTTTGAGAATGCACAATTCTGAATCTCTAGGATTTTTCCAAGTTTTTAATTCTGAAAACTGCTAATTCTTCTTAAATTTGAGAGACTTAAAACTACAATATCAGGAACTATGTATCTTTCCCTGGATCGGGAACGTAAAATATTTACAGCCTTCAATCTCTGAAAGTTTTAATTTTGGAGCTTATCTTTGAAGATTACCCAGATCTTTATTTTAATCTGTTTTAATTTAAATATTTTAATTTTTTTCTCTCTCTTGTATTTTTTGATTCGATAGTTTTTGTTAATTATATTGAAATAAGAACCGCATCGCTGGCTCACTCACAATTTCAATAGCTTCGAGAGGAATCGTCATCCTTGTCGCACGTCGTCGGACACCGTCAGCACCACGCTTCCGCGCATAGTAAAATCGCAGATTATTCCGCGTAGAAATCCGTGGTATAAATCTTCATGGCGAAACAAGTCTTGTCTCGCGAAAAAGTAGACATCAAAATGATACACTTCGCGATTCGTCGTAAGATAGGCTCCGCATTATAAATTCAAATTGTTTTCAGCAATCATGGGACGATACGAACTTTGAAGATGGAACGCGAGACATATATTTTCCGCACTGCACACATATATATTTCGCAACGCGAAACGTTTCGCCGCAAATACATTCTTGTTGTCTACATTTGAAATTTAACGCGCGGTAGATTGCAACATTGCTAACATTTCTCACGTCAGTTATAGTATATCTTTTCTTATTTTTTACAGATAGTGTTTGCGATCTGGAAATTCCTAGTAGAAGCATCGATCAATTAAATGAAAGCTTAGATTTCTGTAGAAGAAATATAACTAAATTAAATCATCTCTTCAGAATTATATAGATAAATAATTAAAATAATCGACACCGTTTCTTTGACCTTTTAAAACGTTCACACAATTATCATAATGCGAATTAAACATTTTAATATTGTTAATAATTAATATCCGCGTGCAGTACCAAAATTATATAATTTAATATAATTAATATAATTTAAATAAGATGTCACTTTATACGTTATAAAAAGTGTATTTCAATCTGAGTTCGGCGCTACACGGATCACCACATTTTATTCATCTGACCGATAATCCTGCGGTTATTTAAACATTAATTTCCTCCCGCTTATTATGAAAATACGAAAACTTAAATTCGCAATTTGTTCCATCAAATTTCTGATCACATTATACTTAATTAACTCATGTAAAATCAAGCTAACCGGTTTAAACTGTAAATAATTAATTAATTAAAATTTTTACTAACTGTTTAGTAATAATTAATTTAATTTCATTTATTAACATTTAATTTAATTAAAGTTTACTGTTACGAATACCTCCGGTGTGCGGTTACAAATTTGAAAATTTTTGTTTTAATTCTCGTTTATTTGAACAATCGTATCCCCGAATTCGCGGGCGTGTTTCTTTATTAATTTTTCTGCAAAGAGTTAAAAAATCGCTTTCTGAATCATATGGATTCATCACGAATTACTTTGCGTGTTGTTGAGTTCTATTTGTTTTGCGCATGTAGACCACAACAGTATTTGTCCGCACAAACGCGATTGCAGTAGTACATGTCTACCTATTCTCAGCTACAGTAGAGTACATCCTTGTGCTATGCCTACACATGTGGTATATCTGCACTTGGATATAACTGTTATATACATATAGGCAGATAGTCAAAAGCTGCTGTATTCGACGTTCATTTCTAGAGATTTCACATATTAACTTTACCCGTATATGTATATATTTATTAACTTTTCTCATCGGGCAAATACAAGTAATTTTTAACAGCAACACATTTTAAAATAAATGTCTGGAAATTCGAAATTATATACTAAAGCTTTATTATTATAAACTCTAATTAAATTAAATTAAATTTTACTAATTGACGAGTAACAATTTTTATTAATTAATAGTTGACAATTTGGAACAATTCTCCCACTTAGTAAACGTGAGTTAATTAAGTAATGTTATCGGAAATTTGATGGATGAATAAAATCCTAAATTTGATTTTTATACTTTTTATACTATTATTTTTATACAATAAGTATACATTAATGTTTATATAACCACGATTATAAATCGGATAAAAATACGCAGATCAAAATAATCCGTGTATAGAGCTATTTTAAATTCCGACTTTTATTAAATATATTTGAATTTATACTTTTTATATATAACGTAGTATAGTGACACATCTTGTTAAAGTTAAATTTAAATTCTCAGTACTGCACGCAGATATCAACGTATAATTAAAAATGTTAATAATTAAAAATTATATCCACGCTTTGTAGATCTGTTTCGACGTATATTTTTACAAAAATAATCACGTAGAAATAATTCTGTGCATATGTACGTCCCACGCGTAATTTAATTTTTCACTCGCCTTTTCAAAAACTGTTGAATGTAGCTTAATTGGCTGCGTGGCTTTGGCTCATTCCTCCGAGACTAATTCCGTCGTAGTGAATAACATTACCTTAGGTTCGCACACTAGCCGCATCGCTGGAGCATTAAGTCAAGTTAATCGTGATGTATGACACGTTGAGCATGTGGAGAAGTTGTCTCGCTCATACTGAGTTACATCCTATATCTTCATATGTGTCGGCTTAGCTTTAGGTAGTACGCACATCGAAACAGATAGCGTATTGTCTGCTTGTAACATACAGTAACATAGTACTTCGTGTATTCAAGGATTATCGGAGATTTTCAAAATCCTTAAGCTATACCTGTGCAATTTTTGTTTGTTTTCAGATTTATAATATTGAATTTCAGCCGAGTTAGTATTAATGTATAAGATACTAATAGTTTAGGTACTATTAGTATCTAATGTATTAGATACTAATTCTCATTTTAATTTAATTTATTTAAATTAAATTAAATTAATTTTATTTTAATTACATTCAAATTAAATTCAATTAATGTAAATTTAATCGAGTTTAATTAAATTCTGCCTATCGCAAAGTTTCAATAAAAGGACACTATTTATATTGTATGCACATTTTTTATTTACAGTTTTTTTATTCCGTTTGATGCTAAAAAATTCTTAACAATGTTTTAAAAAGATATATTTGCTTCCAACAAAGATAAATAAAAGGGAGTTTACATATGGATTGAAAAATATTGATGTACGTATTGGTATTTATATTCTGTTTTTGTGTCATTTTGTTATTTTAATAGTTTTTTACATGTCCGAAAAATTTTTTAAAATTCGATCACAACGAATGGATGAAATGTTACGATCGATCGGTGTGGATGCGGCTTTACGGGTAAAACGCGATCAATATGAATGCATACGCATAGTTTTGCGTGCGTAAAATGTTTGAAACTGCATGCTGGGTTCGAAACCAAAATTATACGAGACGACAAGCATTTGCATTAATGCGTTCGCGAGTGGATATTAATATAATTGAAGCGTATGATAATAGCTACGTGATAACTCCTTCCTGGGATCGACTACAAGCATTTTCGTCAGCAAGAGTTTAATTTCATCAAATAATATCTCACAGTCTGAATTTTAATGTATGATCGTTGTTGAAATTTTATCACGTCTTTGCGCATCGGTAATAAGCAAACGTTTGAAAATTACTATTACACGATCAAATAAACGTATTACACACACGACAAACTTCACAAAGCTCTTACAGCTAAATGCATTTTCCGCAAGACTGAACGTTTACGGAGCTTTATAAGCTTGTTCAACAAAATAGTTAATTAATCTATAAATTAGTTAATTAATCTATAAATTAGATTAATAACAAAATTGTGTATGATATCGCGATATAAACGACAAATCACGCCGAG